TGCTTTACACCGTATGTTTAAACCTGTTCAGAAGTTTAATATTCACATTTGAGACTAAAATCTGAACTTTAAACTACACCAAGAATCCCATGTAGTTCAGAACATGTACATTTGTAGAGGTTTAAACTAGAGCCCGACCGATATATCGGCCGATATGAGCACCTGGAAGCATATTGGCTATCGGCTGATATGTTTGCTGATATGGGCCCATATTTCCCGTGGGCATGTTATACCTCTTTATAAATCTTAGACTCTCTACATTCTGTTCATTTAATCCAATTTACAGACAGATAAATGTCCAAATATGTGGCTCCACATCAGTATTTATCTGCGGAGTCATTTGTCAGTGTGTGTGTCCTACTGTCCCTGAACACACCACAGAGTCACGTGTGTTTGTTTACACCCGCAGACATAGATCCACGTGCAATACTGATATATATATACCGTAGTTAAACCACGAGTTGGGTGAATGACGTGATGAAAACTAATATTTTAATTAAATTCTTGCGGGTGGCTGTTTAACTACTCAAAAAAAAAAAAAAAATAAATAAATAATATATATATATATATATATATATATATATATATATATATATATATATATATATATATACACACACACACACACACACACACACACATATATATATAATATATATTATATATTTTTTTTTTTTTTTTTTTTTTTTTTTTTGAGTAGTTAAACAGCCACCCGCAAGAATTTAATTAAAATATTAGTTTTCATCACGTCATTCACCCAACTCGTGGTTTAACTACGGTCGCCGCGGCTGTAACCACAATCTGTGCATCTCTGCTGTGCGGTCGCTGTCTGCTCCGTGTGTGTTTGTGTGTTCTGCGGGCGCTGCGGCTTTGTAGTTTACTGAAGTCGTGCTGGGACACCCGACTGGAATGGTGTATAGGGCACTCTGGACTGTGGAGCGCAATCGTTTTTTTTTTTGATGGGGTTGGAGGCTTATGAGTGCACCCTATAGTGCGGAAAATACAGTAAATTGGGAGCTGAAACACATGAATTTACATCCATTCATCTGCAGCCCCAAAACTAAAGTTCTATTTAACAGTGTGTCTTCAGTATGTACCTTATTCATTTTGAACTGACAATTACATTTTTGTGAATGTAACTCCAAAAGTGACTGAGGCTGTGTTCATACTTCTAAACTCTGACTAAACCGGGACTAAAACTAGAACTAATCCTGGACTAAACAGTGACTAAACCAGGACTGTAACAGGACCAAACAAAGTCTAAATCAGGACTAAACCAACATCAAACCAGAACTAAACTGGACAAGTGTGAACACAAGTGGCTGAAATTTAAGTACTTGCTTTCAAGACATCCAAAGTGCTTTACAGAGTGTTATTCATTCACTCTACACTCACAGTCACAGCTGCCCCGGTGCAGACTGACAGAAGAGAGGCTGCCAATCTGCACCGTCGACAAACACCAACATTCACACACCACTTTCATAGTAGGCAATGTGGGTGAAGTGTCTTGCTTAAGGACACAACAGTTTGAACCAGAGCCTCTCCTGCCCCACTATAGCACCTGATTTTCCGAGCGGTCGCCCGTCCAAGTCCAGGCCTGGTGATGTTTAGTTCTGAGTAAGAGACGAGATCAGGCAATGATAAGGTGGAAAAGTGGTGAAACAGGCTAAAACTCATTACTAAAACTCATTACTTTTATTTCAGTGGTTGCATCTATGTTGTGTGTGATGGTTTAGAGCAGAGTGTAATCCCTGTGGTGTCCTGCAGGTGGAGCTGGACTCTTCAGAGGAGCAGTCTGGAAACGTGGAGGAGGGGCCTACAGAGTGTGACTGTGAGAACGGAGAGCCGGGATTCGCTGGATTCAATGGACCAAAAGTAAGATTTAAAAAACATGGAACATATTTTAAAAACTAAATATTTTCCAACATGAGGCCCAAGAGTCACGGCCATCAAAGTTTGATGTGATGATGAGGGGACCAGAGTCACTTCCCTGTGGATTACATTGTAGTTTTTGTTGAAATATCTAAAAAGTAAATGCACAAATGTTGAACCTGATCATTTCTATTAGTGACTCACTGTATTACAACACAAATCTGCATCTGAACTTCTTACTGTGCATCTGATGTCATCAACATTCTCTGGGGTGTGATGCTGACTGTAGGCACTGCTCTATCTGAGGCTCTGTTTAGGCTTTAATCAGATTTTATTTCAACACAGACTGACCATTAACAACAGATTTTTTTCAATTCATTTCAAGTTTATCCCTCTCAGGCTCAAATTAATTTTTAGTATCATGAAAAATCTGATATTTGGGGAAAATGATCATATGGAATAGTAATATACAATCCTGACTTTTTTTGAGAGACCTTCACATCCAATGTGTTCTGGGATGTTGCAGATTTGCAGTATTGGCTCGGTGTGGTAAATTAACACTGAAGACTGAAAATGATATGAACGCTAACTTTATGTGTAAACCACTTTTCAATTAACAATGAAAACATAAAGCACAGTGTAACAGCTTTACAGTGGCAGAACAATATCACTTTTTCACGTGGTGCTCCAAGAAACAGTTTTTATCCTTTGTAAACAACAAAAGTACTTTGCACTTCTGGTAGGCTGTTTGTGTGTAGTCATTCTTGCACAGTCTGCATTGTTCAGGTTGATCAGCATGGATGGGAAAAAAGGCTCCTGAGTTAAAAAAGGCTCATAATATATGAATATGGAGTAAGTACATAAATGGCATTTAACTGTTGCAAATCTGCAACACCTGCCTGGAGAGGGTTATTTCTATAGCACATTTAAAACAACTTCAGCTGATCAAAGTGCTTCACATACAAGTCAACATAATAGAAGAAACACTTACATAAACATATATACAGAAAACAAGTGAAAACTACAATAAAAACACCAAGATAACCAGACTCGCTTGTACTAAACACCAGGGAGAAGAGGTGAGTTTTTAGTCTCATCTTAAACTGCGTTCCAGACTGAGAGGATCTGACAGGAAGAGGAAGGTTGCTCCACAGTCTGGGCGCTGCCACAGAAAAGCCTCTGTCTCCTCTCGTCTTGAGATTAGTTTTGGGCTCGACCAACAGGAGCTGGTCTGATGTCAGGGCTCTGGGTGGAGGACAGGGCTGCAGTAACTCCCTCAAACAGACTGGACCCATAGAGTGCAAACATTTGAAAACAATTAATAGCATTTTAATTTATTTGCACCCGACATGAGACAGGAGTCAGTGCAGGTCACAGAGCACAGGTGTGATGTGCAGCTGCAGCGTTCTGGACGTGTTGTAAACGCTGCAGGAGCCCTGATCTAACCCCACATACAAAGAACTGCAATAGTCCAGGTGATGTTACGAGAGCATGGATCATTCTTATAAACTCTGCCCGTGGGAGGTCGGGCTTTACTTTAGTGAGGAGCCTCAACTGAAAGAAACTGGACTTAATCACAGAGCTAATGTTCTTGTCCAGTTTGAACATGGAGTCCACAATCACCCCAAGATTCTTCACTGCAGGAGACAACAGGACAGAGGAACAATCACACTGTTCTGCCCAAGCAGTGGGTTAGTTTGTCCAAACACCACAATCTCGTTTTTTTATGATTTAGATTCAGTTCAATTTGTGCTCAGCCAGGTCTGTACGTCCCTGAGACAGTCCTGCGGAGCTTTGATCGTGCTCTGGCTGTCAATTGCGGTCAAAAATTTAGCTGGAACTACATCAGGTGATCTGACTCTCACCTTTGTGTTGAAAATCAAACTTCTAAACGGGACCATGAACACTCACACTGATCACAGACTGTTGAAAATTTGCTCTTTAAATCCATTTTGTTTGTTTTGATTTTTTCTAAAAACTTGATCATCTTTGTTTCCTTATGTGTGCATTGTGTCACCTGCTGAACATTCTGCCATTCACATACATGTAGAACACCCCCAGCGTAATGTCACTGCAAAGTGTTGATTGATGGATTCATTTTTACTTTGAGTTTGTGCCAAGAGAGAAACAATAATCATACATTCTGCATATACATTATGAAAAACAGAAAAGCACATTTCTCAAAAATGAGTGGGAAGGAGAAAAAAACGTATGTATCAATATTCACTTTAGCTGCTCCCATCTATGAAAATTTGGTGATTACATTCATTTAACACATTTAAGAAATCAAGAAATTCCAAGTAAAACTCAGCAGCACAATCCTAAAAACAATAACTAAATGTGTCATTTAAATATGATTCGTTTCTCAACCATTTGAACGATTTTCACTAGATGCTATTTTCTAAACACGTAATAGAATTTTATCAGAATTTCAATTTTGTTAATAACTGATTAATTTAATATAATTGACTGATTTACACAGTTACACCCCTAAATCTTGATTCACTTCACCAGTTTCACAGCAGTAGCATGTATTTGTAACAGATGTCCTCCTGAAGGAGTGAGGTGTCTTGGTTTATTTTTAACTGTTTGTGATGTTAAGAATGCATTTACAGACCTGTAGAGGGCGCTATAACACCACAACTCTTTACAGTACAAGTCTTTTGTTATTGTTGTCTTTATCAAAATGGCAAAGGAGAAATTCTATTTGTCGCGCGTCTCTTTTGAGAACAGTGAGGTACAGATCTGAGCCAGAGAAAAGAATTGGTTTGAGAGGAGAGTTAAAGAGGTTGTTTTTGTTAAGAAAGAGAATCCTTCTCTAAACAGAAATGGAGACTCAGATGTCATCTATCTCCTATGTACAACTCCATCCTCAAACCTAAATCAAAACAAACAAGAGAACAACAGAGGCAGTCGGGCAGGTCCAGACGTGTGGAAGCTCCATTATGACCCTGATTGGCTCTGCTAATAACAGCCCACACTCAGTGCAAGTTGAATAGGCCTAAATAACAAACAGAAACTGTCAACAGGTAGGTTTGTTTGTTTCAGAGGACTTTCAGGGTAGTTAGCTCCTCCCTTCAGACAGATATAAGAAGTGTCCATCAGCATTCTCACCAGAACTGAAGAAGCAGCTTGGATGAGCCACGAAATGTTTTTGACCAAATAAACTTTTGTCCAGTTGACAAATTGAATTTTTCCTTTGCCATAGATTCTATCAGGACAACTGAGGGATTTTTCACACATCTTTATCAAAATGATTCGATGTAAATGTATACCACAGTCATTTGCCATAAAACAACCTTCTAAATGTTTGTTTTTACTTGGTAATTATTAAGGTTAAAATAAATAAAGTTAATTAAACGACAGAGAAAGTTTATGGACGCTCTGTTTGAAGGGCCCATGTTACACAAATGTCTGATCTAATGACGTTTCCTCATCACACACACACCTGGATTTGTGTTTTGTTTCATTCATGTTTAACACATAAACCTGCACATTTAGACTGAGTTCAGAAACACTCTGTTCCACCTTGTGATGTCATGTGGTAATACAAGAAAACTCCACAGACCTTCACTAGAATCATTTGGATCATTTCAGCTCTGGAAGTCCCAATCTCCACTGAACTAAAGGTAAAAGGAGCTGTGCTCTTGAAAACTACTGCTTCATGACATCACAAGGTGGAACAGAGCATTTAGAGCTTTGGAGATGTAAACAGACTCATAATAAAGAGTTACTCAAACATGTGAGAATGAAACAAAACACAACTCCAGCTCTGTTTTTAAGCAGGTAACAACATTCTAACTGGCTAAAAGCTGACAAGAGTCAATTTTGTGTATTATTTTCATTATCAGTGACATGTTTTGTTCTTTTAGGGTTTCAGAGGATTCCAAGGTAAAACTGGAGAGCCCGGTCTGCAGGGACGAGAGGTGAGAGAAGAATTTGAATTTACATTTAAACTTTAAAAAACATAAATCTTGAATACTTTAATTTTCCATTTGTTGTTTTTTAGGGTTATAAAGGGACCAAAGGAGTGCAGGGACGCAGAGGAGACCCAGGACCAGTGGTGAGTGGCACTAAGAGGCTTTTATTTGGAAAAACACATTATAATTTGGAAGATGCACAATGTAAATTTTTGGATAAACAGTCTCCTAAAACTGCACAACAACTCAGCCTTATGGGACAGATAATACTCCCTACAACTACACAAGAACTCACCCTTATGGAACAGATAATACTCCCTACAACTGTACAACAACTCACCCATATGGAACAGATAATACTCCCTACAACTACACAAGAACTCACCCTTATGGAACAGATAATACTCCCTACAAATGTACAACAACTCACCCATATGGAACAGATAATACTCCCTACAACTACACAAGAACTCACCCTTATGGAACAGATAATACTCCCTACAAATGTACAACAACTCACCCATATGGAACAGATAATACTCCCTGCAACTGCACAAGAACTCACCCTTATGGAATAGATAATACTCCCTACAACTGTATAACTCTCCCTTATGTAACAGATAATACTCCCCACAACTGCACAACTAACCCTTATGGAACAGATAATACTCCCCACAACTGCACAACTAACCCTTATGGAACAGATAATACTCCCTACAACTGCACAACTAACCCTTATGGAACAGATAATACTCCCTACACCTGCACAACAACTCACCCTTATTTTGAATGTATTATTTTATTATTTATTATATGTATTTTTTTTTTTTTCATTTCCCTTCTGGATCAGTAAAGTTAAGTCTTAGTCTAAACAAACCCAAAGTCTTGGTGTGCCAGTCTGGAAAGTCTTCAGTGCACAGAAATAGAAAGTTGAAGTCATACATTCTCCACGGACATGTGGAACATTAAAGACAAAGAAACAACATTAGAAACAAGCAGAAGAAGGCCCTCATCCAGGCCAGTTCATATAAGAGTCAGGTTTGTGGAGATGCGAGCCCATTCGCAGTATGGCATGGGCATGTTTTTCAGCCAATAAACACAACCAAAGTGAAAAAAGATGCTTTTATTATCATCTTTTTTTCTGTGGTCTAGAACAGCTCCATGCCGACTAACACTGCTCAGAGTTGTTTAATCTGCCTATACCAGGGTCTGGCTCCCACCAACTGAAAACCTGAACTTTTTGTTTGTCTGTGGATGTTTGAAGCATTAGTTATTTCTGTTTTAGTTGAAGCTAGTACCTCCCAACAGCAGTTCATTTGTTTACCTGTTTCTTTGGTGATGCTCATAGTGTAGTGATACAGAACTCCTGCCGGAACTACATGTGCAGTAGGGTGGTCCAATTTTTTTTTTTTTTTTTTTTTTTTTTTTTTTTTTAGAATAGAACCCTGCATTTGATTCCAAAATATTTGGGTCCAAATGTTATCCAAATGATTGAATCTTTAGAGGTTGCTCAAGACACTTGAAAATTGCCCTGTAGGGTCTATACTATAATACAGAAACAAATAAATAAGGCGTATTTGAATAATTCTGCAAACACAAACTGAAACTTGCTTAAAAATACTTAGAAAGTCTATAAAAGTTGCTTAGAAACAAGTTACTTGAAAACACAAAATTAATAAATTTCCAGCAGACTTTATACTGCTTGAGCAGCCTCGACAACATCTCCTTTTTCTTCCAAATTTCTTCCTAAATCATCTTTTGGATGCTGAAACCTAATGCAGAGTTCTAATCGAGGTGATCTGAAACTTTTTTTTTGACCATGTTCGATGAACCAGCCTAATGTTCAGTTATTCAAAAATAATGAGAATTCTCTCTGACCACGGTATAAAATGTGACAGGTTTTTCAGCTCTTATTTCATGTATGATATATTTGTTAGGCTCCCACTTCATATTTAACTCAACACACTCATTTGCACTTTGTGATGTCGTTAGGTGCTCTGTTACAGTCATTTCTGTGATGACTTTAATGAATGTGTAGTGATCATACTAATATGTTTGTTGTTTGTTTCCAGGGCGACCCAGGTCTGGAGGGGGAGGAGGGGGGCTCTGGATTCACTGGAGGAATGGTGAGATTTAAACTACAACAATGATGTCACAAAACTGGAATATTTAGAAATACTGTAATTCTTTTGATTTGACTTTATTTTAGGGAGAACCAGGCCTCCAGGGAGATCCAGGTGAACAAGGAGTGCTGGGAGTAAAGGTAAATGAAAGGCCCTGTACCAGATGTAATTAACCAATCCTTATTGTATTATGTTTGAGTAATCTAGTGATCTCTCCCGGGCTCTATTCAAACCCTCCTTATGGTTAGATATAAGATTCTGTACAAGGCTCCACCCACAAACCTACATCACTCATGCTCCCACATGACACTTCTCCATAAATATACAAACACATGATACAAAACTACACAGCCACTAGACAAACCTGATGTGATGTGCGAGAGTTTCATTAGTGGGAGCAACGCTGATTGTGTTGTAATAGTGGTCTGAAGGTGGAGTAACTTAACTTGGAGAGCAAAGGGAGGGGAGAATCAGAGCGTCAGAAATGAAAGTGACTCTTATTATTACTTATTGTTATTAACTTAAGTTAACATGTTGTTTTGGGTGAATAAAGAACAAAAGAATCAAAGGAACATGGTGATTTAAATATGTGACCTGTGTTACAGTTAATACTCCACAGACGTGTAATACTCCCTGTAATGACAGTAGTTCTAGCACTGGGGCATCTGGGATATTTTAGAGCAAAATGAGCATTCTTCTAAAACTATTACTTGCTCTACATTGTATTTGGCCTTTTTCACTTACATTATATTTTACATTTCAGGGAGACTTGGGAATGGAAGGACCTCGTGGAGGAGTGGGATCTCGAGGAGAAACGGTGAGAAGCTAAATCTGAAAATCTGAAGAGAAAAAAAAAATTAAGCATTTCATTTAATATAAATAAATATATAAATATAAATATTAAATATATATATATATATATATATATATATATATATTTATAATATACACACACACACACATATATAGAGAGAGAGAATGTTTGAGAATAGATAAAATATTTGAGAATAAATTTTCATTATTAAGAAATGTATGAAAATGCAAATGAAAGTCAAACAGAATTAGACCACATCCGAAATTTCTAAATTTCACAAGTCTTACAAAACTTGACACGCACACACTGAGTCAGATATTACACCACAAAGAGCCAGTTTAGACCTGTTTTAGTTCTGGTTTGGTTTAGTTTAGTTCTGGTTCAAGTCCTAGTTTAGTCCCGGTTTAGTCAGGGCCATACTGGTTTGTCAACGCCTGATCCCATCAGATCTCAGAAGCTCAGCAGGACCGGGTCTGGTTGGTACTTGGATGGGTGACACTGGGAAAATCAGGTGCCACAGGGGGGCGCCAGTCACATAAACTGTCATTGTGTCCTTCACTCTAGTATGAAAGTGGAGTGTGTGTGAGTGATGGTTGTGGTGATTGGCAGCCTCACCTCCATCAGTCTGCCCCAGTTTACCACTACTGAGTGTGGAGTGAAATAATGGCGTGAATGCTCTGAAATGTGTCTTTGAGTGTCCAGAAAAGCCATATATAAAACTGATGCATTATTAGTAGTAGTAGTAGTTGTAGTAGTAGTATTAGCATTAGTCCTGGTTCAGTCCTGGTTTAGTCCTGGTTTAGTCCTGGTTTAGTCCTGGTTCAGTCCTGGTTCAGTCCTGGTTTAGTCCTGGTTTAGTCCTGATGTAGACCTTGTTTTTGTCAAATCAAATATGAATTTGACTAAATACGACTCTTATGAAAATGTTGATTTATTCACAATTACAAAAACACTGAGCATTTAAAGTTTGGTTATTAAGCTGCTTATCCAATCAGAAAGCAGAATGAGCTCCTCACTTTGGGTTGCCAGATCCTACGACTAGAACCAGTTTGTAATATTTTATAATATGTTTGTAATAGTTTTTCTATTACAATCTTAATCTTGCTTTAGAGTTATTGTGCTAGTGCCATGAGGTACTTTTAATATTATGTATATGTTATTGTTTATCGTACATATTTGTTCACACTTCAAAATGTGCTGTTGTGACTGAACTATGTGTCCTCAGTGTGTGACAGATGCTGCAGGTTCAGGTGTAATGGCCTTTTTAAACCAGTGTTCCAGACAAAACTTGGTTCACATAAAGGGATCCAAGTGTCTGGAAGTCCCCCACACCCCCATCACCACATCACACGTGAGAATGGATGAAAAGAAACTTCTCCATCCCTCTTCCGCACACACACTCACTCATATCCTGATTTAGTCCTGGATTATGCCCTGCAAGTCATAGTTTGGATGGTTTGGTTTGGAATTCCCCAGACCACCATCACCACATCACACACACAGACACACACACACACACACACACACACACACACACACACTGATTACAGGGTATTACAGGGTAAAATGACTCAAGCAGAGTCATTACATCTGTTGTGATTTTAGATCTTTGAGATTTAAGATCAGGGTGCATCTGTCTGAACCCGAGGCTCCTCTGAGACGCTCTGTCCCACACCTGTCATTTTCAAAGTCTCTATTTCAGTTATTATAATTCACACCACCAGTTTCGACACACTTTTTCATGTCTATTTTCTCTTTATTTCCTTGATTATTTACACTGTCGATCCTCACTGAAGCCTCAAACTATGAATGTCACATGTGAAAAAAAAAACACTCCAAATAACTCCAAAGTTATTTTTAGATTTTTGCTTTGATCACAGTTTTGCACTTTTGGCATTTCTTGACCCTGAGGAACAGGTGTGAAGTGAAAACCATTTCAGGAGACTTCATCATGAAACTGCTTCACTCTAAAACTTTTGTCCAGTGACAGAACTGATTTTTTTCTTTTGCGTCTGAGAAGTTTCTTCTACATCCCCAAGAACAAGAGACTAAACCAGGACCAAACCAGGACCAAACCAGGTCTAAACCAGGTCTAAACCAGGACTAAACCAGGTGTAAACCAGGACTAAACCAGGTGTAAACCAGGACCAAACCAGGTCTAAACCCAGACTAAACCAGGTCTAAACCAGGACTAAACCAGGTCTAAACCAGGTGTAAGCCAGGTGTAAACCAGGTGTAAACTAGGACTAAAGCAGGACTAAAGCAGGTTTACTGCTACAGCTCCTGGTAAAGAGCAAACTCCTTGTTTCTCATGAAGAAACCTAAACACTGCTGTGAAGCAGATATAATGACTCAGTTTGACTCATGCAGTTTATACTCTGTGACTAGGTCCCGGCATAGTCCTGGTTTAGTTCTGGTTTAGTCCACAGTGGCGCAGCGATTAGCGCTTTTTTGTTTATGTTATTAGGTTCTTTTTTTAGAATTTGTTTTCATACCTGACCTGACTGCTCCCTGCGGTCTTCCTGAGGCGCTCTGTCCCACAGCTATGCTGGTGCTTCACTGCGCTCTTCCTCAGAGTGGTCACATGATGTTACTGTGACGTGTCCAGTCAGCTGATTTAAACGGGTTTTGGTGCTGTCTTCTTACTGGTGGAGACAGACTTCCACCACTAGTGCACAGTCCGAACTGTCAAGTATGAAAACTAACTCTTGGTCTGAAAAAGAACCTAACAGCATACATTATTGGAAGACCAAATGAACCTCATTGGACAGTTAGCTCTCTTGCCTCAAGAAGGTCCAGGCTTGGATTCTTGGGCGGTGCAGGGTCTTTCTGTCTGGAGTTTGCATGTTCTACCTGTGCCTGGGTAGGTGATTATCATGAACAATAGGCTCTTCCCTTAAAAAGAGAATCTTTATCTTAGTGACTGTCCTGTTAAACCATTTACAAGTAAAACACTAAGAACAACACTAGAACTCAGGTTAAATACAGTACTAACTTCTGGTGCTTTGTTCTGGTGATGATCTCGTCTTGTTTCAGGGCGGAGCAGGAGACGCAGGAAGCTCAGGACCAAAGGGGCCCAAAGGTGTCAAGGTAAAAGAAATGATGGATTTTAAACACGGAATCTCTCATTTAGTTGTGGTTTGACTTTAGTGAGATTCATGCTGCTACACCAGTCTTTGTCGTCACGGAGGCAGAGTTGTTCTACTACATGCTTGTTGTTTTTAATATAATGACCAAAAAGTTGTAAAAAGTGCTTATAAACTCATCTTGGTGAGTAAATAGGATAATGCATAAGGTAAGTGAAGAAGAACTTTGGACCACTGCAAACTGTTTACAATGAACAAGATCTGTTAAATATAAACATTCTTCTGTGATTTTTTTTTTTTTTAAACCCAAATGAACTTCTCGTTATTCTTTCAGGGTTCTGATGGAAACGAGGGAGAGCAGGGTCCACAGGGCAAAGAAGGACAAAAGGTGAGATCTAATATTTATTTCATATTTAAAGGTCCTATATAACACCAAGTGGATTCTTCAGCTTTAACCTACGTTATAATACTGTTCCCTCCTCAAAAACACACCTGGAGTTGTGTTTTGTTTCATTCACACGTTTGAGTAACTCTTTATTATTAGTCTGTCTACATCTTCAAAGCTCAAAATGCTCTTTTCCACCCTGTGATGTCATGAAGTGGGAGTTTTCAAGTGAACAGCTCCTTTTATCTTGAATTGTTTGTGATGAGGAAACAACATTATAACGTAGTGTCTCCAAATACAGGTTCTTTTTAACGCAGACCTTGACATGTTTTGGAAAAATGATGTTTTGTGTTAACAGTGAATTACTTTCTTTGGTTTTGTTTTGCAGGGTCAAAGTGGAGCTCCGGGGTTCAAAGGTGACATCGGCGACAGAGGATACAACGTGAGCAACTGATTTGACTCCTTTTAAATAAAAACACCACACAAGTTATTTCCTCTAAACCCGTCTTATATTAAGATAAATGTAGTGCTGTATTTGTCCAAATACTACAACTAGAAGTGTCGGATTGCAGTACTACTAACAATAACTACTACTAATACTACGACTAGTACTATTGTTGCTGCTACTACTATTACTACAATTACTACTGCTAATACTACAACTACTACTATTACTGCTGCTAATACTACTACTACTATTACTACTACTATATACTACTGCTGCTGCTGCTGTGACCACAACTCTTGTTACATCAGTTCAAGTTCATTTCTGATGGTTTACTTCTTTTCTCGTGTTCAGGGGTATCCAGGTGAACCCGGAGGTCGAGGGGAGACTGGGGAACAGGTACGTGTAAAAAACATATATGTAATGACTCGACTTCGTTGTTACATGCACAATAATTACAGCGTGTATTTTAATATTTACGATACTACTCATAGTGCTGGTAAACCCCTGCATAAATGAGTCAGATGATAAATAGCACTTATTAAACTCTTAAGTAATTAATCAACATCTGTTTACTGCTCAGCTCTGTTCATGAAAAGAAAGAAGCAGGTGGTGAACTTCCTTATAGTGAGCCTTTAAAAAACAGTAGTAAATTAGATATTATATAATATTATATAATGTTAATGAGTAAAATATATTGTAAAATAGTAATTACAGCAGGATTTGGATATAAATAAAATGTCAAAATATAAAATGTACAGTATATGGTGCAACAGTGTGAAAGAAGCAGCTATTTGCATGACTCAGACCAAAACCAGGCATGACTCTGTAGTGACTGAGCAAAACAAAACCTGTAACTGTTGAAACTCTCTGCAATAGTTTAAATGTGTCTCCATCCTCTCTGGCCTTGCACCTTAAAAAACCCATGTGATGTCTGAGCTCGTGTTGACTACAGTCCAGCATTTCTGCCACATCATTGTCCTCAGATGGACCTTCCACAGTACACTGTGACCAGTCGTCCTATTGACCCGGGACAGTCTCAGGGTTGAGCTCTGTATCCTCTGTCCCAGCAGATTTATACAAAACCACTGATTTGTCCCAGTTTTACACAGAAATGTCCCAGGTGTCCCTATTTTTGACCATTTTGATATCTGCCAACAGTAAAGGGAGAAATATATTGTCATTTGTGTTTTAAAAATACAGAAAGCTGTGTTGACCGTAAGACAAAAAATGCACCTACAGAAGTCCCTGTGACCCACAAGTGAGTCAGGAATCAATCAATCAAACTTTATTTGTGTAGCACTTTTCATACATTTGAAATGTAGCACAAAGTGCTTCACCTGTAATAGAAAAATGAGAATGATTCAAAACAACAGCGCCCCCCTCACCCCAGTGTCTCATCCATATACACAGCAGTTTAGACAAACATAAAGCTCCTAAAGGTTATAGCAACAACAACAACAACAATATTAATAATAGTATAATAAAAAATATACATAAAAGTTTCAATTAAAAGTTAAATTGAAAAGAAGTTTTGAGTTTACTTTTAAAAATATGAACACTCGCTGAGGACCTCATATCCTCAGGTCGACGTTTACATGTCAACAAAATAAATGCATCTTTTACTGCATCATCTTTAAAAAAGAAAGTTAAAGCTGTACTGTATGTTTTTTATTTAATTATTTATTTTTTTATAGCAAAACAAACACTGAGTTCATATTATGTCCAAATGTGATGCTCCATTGTTAATCTCATAGTAAACTAATTGAAAACATGCACATCTTATGTCTGCTCCGGTTCTCATTCAGTCTTTATGAAAAGACACATCACAAGACACATGACCGTAACATCTCTATGACTCTGGTGAAGAAGGATGTAGAAACATGTTATGGTGTAAGCAGCATACTTTTTGTCACATGGAGATCATTTACCTGATCTCCATGTGACATTACAGAAGTGTTATCTCATTGCATAGCATGAATTTCACTTTTACTTTTCAGTATGAGTGTTGAGAAATTTCCAAAGAGATTTATCACTTTACAATCCACTGGTCTGTGTCAGCGAACCTGTCAGCCAAGAAGACTTTCACTTTCTTCGACCTCACTCAAAAAGTTACACAGTTCACCTTTACTGATTTTTGGATTCTGGGTCTGGAGGACTAAAGGGGAGAGTGAGGTGTAGGAGGCTGAAGGCTGGTTTACAGTTCCATGTCGTGTCCTGCTGAGCTTAGTGCTGACGTCCTGACACAGACCTGAACCACACAAACTTCTGCAGAGCTCATCAGGGTGCAGGTGCATTGTGGGAATTCAAACTATTTAATTTTCTTTACTCTGGCAATAAACAATCCCATTAGGTTCATAAGCAGACATTTCTGTGCTATACTTTAGCTGTTCCAAGCTCTTTTAATCAGCTGTTCATGATGGTTTAACCAATCACAGCTCTTGCGTTTGGCAGAAGTTCGATGCGCAGTAAGTTTTTAGCCGAGGTGCAGGACATGTGCGCGACACTGCAAACACCGCAAGCCTCTTATTGGCTTTCAAGTGCGTCAGGCCCTAGGATCTGGAGATATAAGGGACCATGTGATTGGTCTAACAGAGATCCACAAGTCACACCCCACCCCTGCAGACAGGTGTTTGTATCAGAAACACCTGTCTGTGTGATGTCACCAAGGCAGCTTAGATTAGACACAGTTAGATTAAAGGCTGCCACACACTACAGGAGAATTTGCTCAATTTTGAGATTTGCTTCTCCTCGAGGTGTGACCGAACTTTTTGTCTTAATGTGCGATTTTGAAGCCGCTGTGCTCCTTTTGTGTATGTGTGTGTGCTCATCATGTTTGTGGTGTGAGTTTGACTCTGAGCTGCTCTGTCAGATCATAATCACCAAACATCATGCTACAGTAACAGCCAATAAAACTAACCGTCAGGGGCAGAGGAGAGATGGACACAGAGACGCAACATACAAACTCAGGATATAGAGAAAATAATGAGAAGGTTTATTCCTCACCTCTTTTAACATTGTAAATTTAAACTTCAGCATCTCATCCACATTATCAATACAAATTGTCCTCCACAAATAATGACATCCAGTCCCCTCCTATTAATCCCATCTGAGATGTTCTTTGAAAGTAAAAAGGTGAGAGTATTTCCTCTTATGTGTCTGTTTACATCCACACAGTGCACAGATCGAGCTGAAGCTGCAGATTAGCTGTAGTGACTCTGAACTTTATCTCCAAGCTTTTATTATGTATCTGAAGTATTGCACCACATTTCACTAATAAAAATAACTTGACTTGTATCTAAACTAGAAGTGCAGAGCTCTGATCTTTGAACACTTAAGTGTCTCAAAGTGAGTTGTTTTACTCAGGGAGGAAACAGCAGATGACATCGCGCTCACAACTTTATACCCTGTGGTCTACAGACAGATCCCACTGCAGTTTTTGCAATTAGAGATTTTAAGTCTTATAAGATTCTCCTCGTGTCTGTGGTGTGTGCTTATTGTAGTGTTTTTAGTAGCAAAAATAAGTGAAAAATGCACAAAGCCCAAATGGCTCATGGCTGAATACGTGTTTAAACGTTTGCTTGTGATGAATATTAAAGTGCATACTGATCATAATATAAATGTTTGAATAACCGCCAGAGCCACAGGGTTTGGCTCATGCAAAAGGGGAGTACCAGAGAACGCAGTAAACAAAGTTCTCACAAAACAAACAAATGAATGTCTTATGCAAAGAGGAAGAGGCACAGTGTAATATGGTAGTAGTAGAAGTACTTTCTTTTTAAAAATATGAACACTGGCAGTGGACCTCAGGACCTCAGGTGGACTGTTCCATAGACGGGGCTGTGAAAACTGAACGTCACCTCACCTCTCTTGGGACAGTTTAAAGATGACATTCTGAGGTCCGAAGGGCTCATATAATAAAAGCAGATCAGATAAATAAATAGGACAAAGACAGTTGAGAGAGAGTTGTATAAACCAATAAAAGTACCATTAAAAGTACCAGTAAAAGGAGTCTATCTTGTTGCTCACGTGCCAGTGCAGAGACTTCAGTACTGGGGTGATGTGCTGTCTGTCTGGTTCTTGTCAGCTTTGTGCTGCGGACTATGGAGATGTTACTAAAGTACAGTATTTTTCTTTGGAAATCCAGAAAGGAGAGCACGGTTTGTAATAAAAACCTGTATTACAGTCTCTGCACTGGCTGGAGAGAGAAATGGTCTGATTATGACAATATTTAAATTTGATAAAAAACAGATTTAGTCACCGACTTAATGTGCGGCTCAAAGCAAAAGTCACTGTGGTAGTAGTGGTAAAGGATGTAGTACTGGTAGTAGTAGTGGTAGGGATTGTAGTATTGGTAGTAGAAATGGTAGTGGTAGTAGTAGTGGTAAGGGTTGTAGTAGTGGTTGTAGTAGTGGTAGGAATTGTAGTAATGGTAGTAGTAGTGGTAGAGATTGTAGTAGTGGTAGTAGTAGTGGTAGGGATTGTAGTAGTGGTAGAGATTGTAGTAGTGGTAGTAGTAGTGGTAGAGATTGTAGTAGTGGTAGTAGTAGTGGTAGGGATTGTAGTAGTGGTAGTAGTAGTGGTAAGGTTTGTAGTAGTGGTTGTAGTAGTGGTAAAGGTTGTAGTACTGGTAGTAGTAGGGATTGTAGTAGTGGTAGTAGTAGTGGTAGTAGTGGTAAGGGTTGTAGTAGTAGTAGTGGTAGTAGTAGTGGTAAGGGTTGTAGTAGTAGTAGTAGTAGTAGTAGTAGTAGTGGTAAGGGTTGTAGTAGTAGTAATGGTTGTAGTAGTAGTAGTAGTAGTAGTAGTAGTAGTAGTAGTAGTAGGCTGACAGCAGCAGTTACAGAGACAGGGGCAAGGTTTTTTTTGTTTTTTTTAATCCAAAGTGAATTGGAGCCAGAGCTGATGGAGCCAGATGCTTCCCCATGTTCACTTCCTGTTTGAAACGCAGCAGCTAGCGGGTTATGTCCATTTATATACAATTTATGGTCCATATTCTTCTCAGAAAGGTTGACTTGACTGAAAATAAGTTTGTAAGTTTCAGCTTTCCCTTAATATCGCAGCAGTTGCTTCAGTTTCCTTTTCTCGGAGGGTGGACCATATGAAATTAAAATAGTCCTGTGAGGTTACACCAGGCCGTGACTCCACCTGAGCCACAGGGTTTGGCCTCTGCGGAATGGGTGGAGGAAAGTACTCAGAGATCTCCAAAACATTTATTATGAAATGAAAATGAATGAAATGAGTTATATAAGTGAAACCTTATGTAAGAAAAAAAAACAATATTCTAGTCAGACTTTACTGGTGTTGTAACAATTCTACAGGATTTTGATACTAAGGAGTAGACTCAAAACTCAAATGTGATTTTCCACATTAAATAGTAGTACTTTCTTTTCTATTCCCAT